TTTAGCGTGTTACTTAAGATTTCAAAACGCAACCAACCCCCCAGAAGGGGGGGTTGGTCAACTGTTTTAACCCTCAATTCGGGGCGGTTAGTTTAGTTTATTACACAAGGTTGGTGGCGTTTTACAAACTTGACCAACCCTCTCTAGGAGCTCCGAAAGGAGCGCCCTGCTCTAGTATCTGAAAATGATTCCCAGTGTGCAGTTACACCTCAAAAATGTTTCCACATGTTCTGTCTTGCTCGTAGCAATACATTAAATTATTATTGTTGTAAGAATTTGGGTTTGGAGTTGGCTTTCTTTGTTACTTCTCCGTATATGCTTTTGTATGTATGTATCAAGCAGAGCTCATGAAGTACAACTTCAGTTTACTAACCAGTTCTCAAAATCCACTCATCCATAGTCTTGAAGGAATGTTATTTTATTTCCATAGAAATTGAGCTTGTTGTGGCAGTCGAAAACGTTCCTCTTCCATGCTTCTGACAAACAGTGCACTGTATTTGTGGTCACACGTTTTTCTTATTTGCTGGAACGTTACTTATAAAATGTATTTCTGTTAGTTGTGGCACTGTATTCCAGCATATTAGGATACTTCACAAATAGCTCAAAGTAACTGAAACTTGAAAGACCGCTGAGTGTTTTTCTCCCACGTGTTTATATTATCATGGCGTTCAGAATTGGGGTATTTCTATGAATTATTTTTGCTTTGTGTGTTACAAGTTTGTTTTGTAGTTGATTAGGTGGAGTTAAAATGGCTCTGCACCATAAAAATGTATGATACGTCACTTAAGAATGTTTCTGGGCACTTGTGGAAGAAAGGAGATCAGGATGTGCCCGTGAATGCCACCTTTTTTAGTGGTGAATGAATAAATCTTAATGTGTGTGAATTTGAAGCAGACAAGAAGAAAGCCCGTTCTTCAGAGGCTCAGAAGAGAAAGCTTCTGGATGGAGACACATATGACCCCAGTTCTCCGACATCGGAGAACAGTTGTGATGAAAGTCCCGCAGCCAAGCGAGCAGCTGTCAATAATGCAAGTGGCGGGATTCAGGCCAAACCCGTGGTAAAGGCCCGCAAATCCCTGCCTGAATTAGAGAAGTATTGGAAAGCTGTGAAGGAGGACCCTTCGGACTTTACTGGCTGGACATACCTTCTTCAGTATGTAGACCAGGAGGTACGCACATGTTTGTATTTTGTTTATTTCAGGTATCATGTGTGTTCATTTGAGGTTGTATCACCTTGTCTGCTTCCTGCTGTATTTGTATATGTTTAAATCAGGTAAAAAGAATAGTTTGTTGAATTGAAGTACTGTTTGACGGTCGAATAGAAATTGGATGATAGGATAACTACCTTCCTGTCATTGTGACTTGTTATATGATGCATACAAAATGCAATGAAATTGTGTTTTACATACATGCAGCAGATAATAACATAAAAGGATTTGAAACAAGTTCCTCGCATATTTGAATCAGTTTCGTATGGCCTCCCGATTACTGCAGGAGGGCACGTTGTTAAAGAGCTTTACTTTGTCTCAGGTGGTTTCCATCCATAACCCTGGCATCCTTTCTTTAAAATATATTTGTAAGTTCATTGCATGGATGTTATTCAGATCAGATTCAGAATTGCCCTTGCTTTTTATTAATATAGAAATAAGTAGTTGTACATTACCGCCACGGTGGTCTAGCGGTTAGAACGCTGGCCTCGTAATTCTGGGGTCTCGGGTTTGATTCCTGGCGGTGCCCGAATTTATAACTTGTGTTGGACAAGGCCGTGGTCTAGGCAACACGGAGTTTTCCTCCGGGGGCTTCCCCGGTTTCTCCGTGGCATCCCAACAATTACTCCATTCACACACAGAAGAAGGCAATGGCAAACCATTTCTGGATCATCTGCCAAGAACGTATATGAACAGGTCCCAGTCCGAGAAAAGGATAAAGAAGAAGTTTCGTAATGTTGCTAACCTCCTGTAAAGGAGACGGCGTAATAAAGAAGAAGTTGTACATGCTTCCATTCTTATCGCCCTGTTGTTTTCAGAATGATATTGAAGCAGCACGCGAGGCATATGATGCCTTCCTGTCGCATTATCCGTACTGTTACGGATATTGGCGCAAATACGCCGACTATGAGAAGAGGAAAGGCAACAAAGAGAAGTGTGAAGAGGTAAGGTTGAAAATATTTGTGAGAGAACAGTGACATGTAATTGAATGTAAATTTCAGTGGAAACCATCTAAATCATTGCTCAAGTCTCTGTTAGCAACAGACGTTCATTTGTAACGTAAGTTCTTGACGCACGTGATTCTTCACGTGGTTTCCATTGCAATTTAATAAGTTACTATTATATTATCTGTTCACAAGCCAGTGTGGTATGTGGAGTATATAAACTGTTATTGCTTGATATTAATTTTATTGTGTTTGAGGTAAATAATTTATTATTAAAAATTAAGAATTAAAAGAAACAGACTTTGTGAACAGAGTAGATACTTCTCAAAATAACACTGTTTTTTTCAACAGCTTCAACAGCTCCTGTCCAGCTTTGGCTACGCGTTTGTTGCTTTTCAAATGGCAATAAGACTGCCAGGAAATCTCTGTAATATTAAAATACATGGTAAATGGACTTTCTTGTGTGCAGCTGTATATGGCATGTACCATTCATGATATTTTGACACACGAAATTCTAAATGTGCATCATTATGATTTGTTTCATGGTGAGATTGTGCAGTTTGTAATTATACACAGACTTCTTGTACGAATAGAAACACAAAAGTGTTGTGGAAATAGTGCTAATCGGAAACTTCTGGTTCAAGCCCTGCAGAATATTTGAGATGTTGGTGATACGTTCGTTGTATTGTGTGTGTAGTTATTTTAGACTAATGTTAAGTATTTAACATAATTGTGTATGGTTTCTCGATAGTAATTTATCTTAGAATAATTGTTTATACCTACATAGGTGTTGATAAATATGTAGTTAACGGTGCAGATGCAGTAAGTATCTGGCACTTTAGGTTAAGTTGTCAAAACTCTTTCTGCATATAGGAAATGGTAAGAAATGAAGAGGGGTGCCAGTAACATGTGAATGTAAATGTCTTTCCCCATTCAGTCTTGAAAGGATTAAATGGTGTAAGTTGTTGGAGTCAGCCCTTTTCCATATGGAAGAATTGGGCTGAAAGAAGAAAAGGTCCTGGGAGCTCATGGTTGGGAAATCAGCGATGAAGACTTTGGGCCATGCGTCTGTAAGGTGATACTGTATTGCTAATCTGGCTATTGCTATAATGTGATTTGAGGGTGCTGTGATGTATTGGGTTTCTAGGCTAAGTAAATGTGTTAAGTTTTGGGCCAGGTCATGGGATGATATCCTGGTTTCTCGGTTATGTCATGGTAAGAGATGTCGGCTTGTTTCCATAGGTGTTTGAACGTGGACTGAAGGCCATTCCTCTGAGTGTGGATCTTTGGATCCACTTCCTTAATTACTCAAAGGCAACATATCCTGAGGATGAAGAACATCTCCGTACCCAATTTGAGAAAGCCATCGGTGCATGTGGAATGGAATTCAGGCATGTTGGCATAATTTAGATAATTGTTTGTCACCATATAATTAACTGGTTTTATGCTACTTATGATTCCTGTGAATTGTGAATCTGATTTGTTTATTGTTAAATCGTTGCTCTCGGTGGACTAGAGGTTAGTGTGCTCACCACCGGACCCAAGGTTCACAAGTTCAAACCCCTTCGAAGTCGTAGATTTTTAAGGGTGATAAAAATCTGTAGTACAACTTCTTTCATAGGGGAAGTAAAGCCATGTCGTAGATTTACAGCATGTAAAAGAGCCTTACGAGCATGAATGTGATGTTTTGTAAGCAACATTTAGCAGCTGTCTCTCCTGATTCTGTACTAGATGACTATAGCATACAAATCAGGATTGAGTAGAAATTGTCCAAGGAATCCTACCGAATGCATAGCTCAAGTAACCTCAAACATTGGAGGAGGCCGAGGCCTGTTGGGGTTGTAGAGCCACAGGAATAATAATTTATTCTTAAATCAGGTTGTACATAACGTTACTACTGTGCATTAAGTAGTTTTGGAGGTATTACTCGTCTTGTTCCCCTGGCTAGGTAGTTTGTGTTGAAGAATACCTCCAGTTCTTGACTGATTGTCCTTCGTTTCTCTGCCTGTCAGGCTAGCTGTAAGGTTCCATGAATGAAAGGGAGGGAGCATTTATAAAGTGATAATCGAGCCCCATGTTTGCAAGCTTCAATTGGTGTGAAGGCTCCAATCTATAAGATGAAAAATCAAACCTGGTACCACGTAAACTGGAATTTGTATCATTAGGTCCCCCCAGCACGCAAGAAACGCTAACTAACTACAACAACAGTGCTTGTTAAACTTTAATGTTCGACCACACAAAAATTTATAGCACGTTTATTGTCATTGGCTTATTTTATATTTGTGCGCTCGTTTCAGATCTGATCGTCTTTGGGAGAGCTACATCAAATGGGAAACCGAGGGTAAAAGACTTCAGAATGTTACAGACCTGTATGATAGGCTGTTGGCCATGCCTACACAAGGATATACAAACCACTTTGACAAGTAAGGATTTTTTGTACATGTAGTTTTTAACGGGTTGCTGTGAAGAATTTTTACAGCAGTAGGATTTGATTTGAACATTTCCCATCTGTTATATGAGGAAGTTAATTTTTTTTTCCTCGACACTGTGCAAGCATGTGCATTCTCATGCATGTTTTTGTGAAACTTCAATGGACTATCCTGGTAAAATAATTTAAATTAAAAGCTGTTCTGTTGCATTCAACATTGCATCATGATTCCACTAGAAACAACACTTTTACCCACAGCTTCCGTCATCGGTGACCCTCATACGGTTATGTTATCGCAACAAGTGTCATTCAGTATTCGATGATTGTTTATAGTTACTTTCCATCCTAACTGTTATAAGTGAATAATTAATATTAAATGTTTTATAATGGAAGAAAATAAATATAGAAATAATGAAAGGAGGCAATTTTATTTGCACATGTTTAAAAATAATATCAGGTTTATTATACGTGATTAATTTTGTAAGATGATTTTTCAGGGGTGTGTGTGTGTGGTTGAGCTGATCGCCCCCTGGGCCAGAGAAAATCTTTCTGGGGGGATGTTGTGCAGGATTAGTGTAATGGAATTGACTTGTGTTACTGATCTAAGACACTAGTGACTCAAAAAGACTGAGTAGCTGTACCCTCTCTCCTCATCAAGACCACTAGAATAAACCTCCCCACCCAACCATTGATACTAATCATAAAACACTAAAAAATGAAGGTAGTGAATGACCATATTCTCTGTAAACCCTGACAGACAACCTATCAGTAATCTTCCCAAGCAGACTACAGAAAAGTGATGAAAGGATGGCGATGGCCTAGTTCACACGTTTGCGTTTACATAAAAAAGTAGTGCGTGGGTAATCTGCGTATGGATAAGGAAACATTTACTGTACAAGTTACTTACTATATCTGATTTAATGCAGCTGTGTCTGTTTCGTTTAAATGGTTGATCAGCATAGTCCTTCATATTATTTTGGTTCTCCAATTTTTATATTACATGTTACAGTATATTTGAGTATCATTCTTTATAATGTAATATAGTTATATCACATTTACAAACATGCAAATTGCATTCTAATATATACTTTCCACGAACATTTTCTTTTCTATTCATTTGTTCATCAGAAACTTATTGTTGACGGAACAGCAGAAGTTCAGATGAACTTGACTTGGTGTTATAGCCTACAGCAGTGGTCCCCAACGTGGCGCTCGCCAAGGCTTTTTTTGGGTGCCCGCGTTGTTACGGAAAGAGGTTATACTGAATAATGAAGGCCGTTCAACCACGGACATTATAAAATCAAAGCACAGATCTCGACTTACTGACGCCCGTCTTGACGATTGTTTGCGAGCAGCAGCATCATCCTACACTTCCAAATTTGAAAAACTGGCCGATTAAATGCGGCGCCAAACATCCAACTTGAGTAATAATAATTGTACTTATAAAACTACGTATTTTTGATCGCACGGTTTCTTGTGTCATTAAACTTCGTGTTGTTTTGCGTATTATTTGGTGTCCATATCTTATTTGTCCAGAGAAAAGAAAATTTGGCTTTAATTGGTTGGTGCCCGCCACGATCTCATAAAGTCCCAAATGTGCCCGTAGGAACAAAAAAGTTGGGGACCACTGCTCTACAGCATGTGTTGAAATATATGTGCTGCTTTGTTGGACTTTTCAGTGATTTTCTAAAGTTTTGCTTTAGGTGGTTCTTGTCGTTCTTGATGGCAGTTTTCTAGGGAAATCAGGATCCTGCGTCTTCATTGACACTAATTTTAACCTTTAGTTTCCAGGAGCACGTTAGTAGTAATCCTCCACAGAAGGTGCTATCTGTTGACGAGTTCCTGACGCTTCGGCGGGAAGTTCTCCAACTGCTGAAGCAGTATGAACAGCCAGCTGCTGTTGTTGATGAGACAGCTCCAGGTGAAGAGGTTGAAGCACCTCCTGGAGAAGAACCAGATGAACAGCCTGTGGTTGTAAGTTAATTCGCCTCAGCACTGTTTTGCAACTGATACTTCTTTTCTTGTGTGTTTGTGTTGTTCCCACTAATTTGTGTGGAAATGGATGAAAGAACTTTAAAACGCCTAAGACTTTTCTTTTTTCTGTTAGCCCAGTCCATTCTTTGTGGGGAGCCTTCTGTCTAGGCTATTCTTTGGATCCTTTTGCCTTTCACTTGTAATTCAAGAGTGCTTTTAGGTAGGCCTATTGTATTTATATTTATTCTTTCAACATTTGTATATATATTTAAATTTTGCCATTTATTGGGTGAATCTAATGTCATCAGGTGGTAACTTGCATCGTTTGTGATGAAACTTTGTCTGTGCGCTATTCAGAGCCTGCAGTTCCTTTCACAAACGACATATTCTTATTTCAGAAAAGTGATGAAGAGACTACTGCTCTGAGGGAAAGGATTATCTCCATTCGTAGGAAAGCACATAAGATAACTGTGAGTGCTGTGGCAGACAGATGGAACTATGAGGAAGGGGTAAGTGGTAATGAAAATATCTCCCGTTCCCTGATTCCTGTTTAAATTTGCCAACATTTAACTTTAATATTGTTTTTAGGTGGTCACCAACATATTTGCTATCAAGTTTGTGAAGAATCTTCTGTTGTTGGCTTCAAGGATTAGGCCCAGAGACTTCTATCCTTATGGGTCCGCAGTGGCCGCTCGGTCTGAGGCGTGGGCCTTATGCCACTTGGTCGCCGAGACCGTGGGTTCAAATCCCACTCAAGCCACGGATGTTTGTCCGGGTTTTTCTGTGTTGTGCTGTCCTGTGTACAGGTAGAGGCCTTGCGACGGGTCGTTCCCAGTATCCCAGTACTTCTATCCATTCATTGATTGAACATTCCAGTAGTACCACTACATATGAAACAGAGCAGCCAGTTATTTAATAGTACTGCAAACTGCTGCTTCATATCTTGGCAGGTTTTTCATGATTTTTCTCAGTCCTTCAAAAAATGGACTGTGACCACTATCATATGCTTTCCAGTTCACTGATGTTTGTGTCATTCTCCACAAAAGCCTCAGCTATTCTTACTGTTCTTAAGTAAACAAAAAATAGATATGAGAACAGCCACTTGTTCAATAAACATACTAAAAGTCAGTCTCATGCCTCATTCCCTAGTCAGACTCTTCCTGAAAAAAGTTTTAAAATATTTATCTTTGAATGTGTCTGTTTATCAAAGAACCTCTGCGTTTTAACCTGAAATGTATATTTATTACAAGCAGTTTCTTGCAAGACAAATTGCCTCTCAGAAACTGAAGAAATGACTGTGTTCAGTATTGGGCTGATGCACCAAATTTTTTTTACTTTGGCCAAAATAATATGCTGTATAGGATTGTATTAATCAGCAGCTGAAATGGAATTGCTTGTAATATCTGGACCATCTTTTTGGTATACAAAATGGTTTTTAATTAAGATACATGATGACACTTCTGCGGTTTATTTTGTTAGTAAATTTAATAGTGACGTTATTGAGTAGTGAGTGCCTTGAACATGTACTTTTTGCAGTCTTTATTGATTTAGATTCTTGCTATTACTTTGTAATGTTTGTGTGAATACATTGTATTGTGGGAACTGTCAGCTGGAGCAGAGCATACGCAGTAACGTATTTTTTGTTTAAAACTAAAATGTCTTTTCCAGTTTATTATTTCTCATATTGCTTTATAATTTTTCAGATCAAGAGACCGTATTTCCACGTGAAGCCTCTAGAGCGCTGCCAACTAAAGAACTGGAAAGAGTATTTGGATTATGAAATTGAACAAGGTGACCAGGAACGGATCATCGTCCTCTTTGAAAGGTGCCTTATTGCCTGTGCGTTGTATGAAGAATTTTGGATAAAGGTAAGCATTGTTAGAAATGATGTTACACACACATATTGCGCTGCCTCAAACAGTGGACCATGTCTCGAGGTAGTGAAAGGTTAATATGAGAACTTATTTCACGTTCTGCCATTGTTTTCTTTCTCTGGTAATGGCCAAGGACCATCATAAATTGAGTATAACATGCAATTTCATCAACCAGTTGAGTTGTAAGCCAATGTGCATTATTGACAATAGAAGTTAACATTAAATATTGTTTTGGCACTGGAGCCGTCCCTTGATCACGTTTGAGACAAGTCATTTTGACCCCCCCCCCCCCCA